CGTTAGTAGTGAAGGAAAATGCATAAACCCGGTCTTCCACTTTTTCTGTATCGGTCAAAGGATGCGGTAGGAAGGAGACATTGATAGTTTTCCATTCCGGGCATTCTTAGTGGCATAGCGAGCTGACTACTTTATTTCAAGCCAGCTACGTGACGCACTCATACGTGCACACACACACACAGAGACACACACACACATTATTGAATTATATTTTCTTATGTATAAATTATATAAGTAAAATTCCACGTAGATGATGAATTAATTTATTTATGATCACTTCTCTTCTAGTTTGGCATTTCTGATGCCATACTCTTATAGGTCGTTTGATTTTTGAACAGATTATAGTTTTAGCAGTAGTTCCATAAGTTCTGCTACTTCTCTCTGATCATTTTAGTATAAATAGGCATTGTTGGTCATTTTACTATACAATGGAATCTTTGGTATAAAAATGTGCTTTTATACTTTTATAGTTTTTGGTGGCACATAGCTGGGACCCTAACAGGTACTACCGCCTCGGGTTAGGGCGGACCTGGCAACCTCAGCAATTAAGACGTCGTAACACGCGCCTCAAAGCCTCCAATCTCCTGAAAAAAGACCTTGCTGGGGATAGAAAACCTTCTATCGCGACACTATGAAAAGACATGCTCAATACGACAATTATATGAACAGTTTTGCTATGTAGTGCTGAACAGAACAATTAAGTCATCCCATGTGTGCTCACTCGTCCTTCGGGTGGTGCTTGCTCGCTTAAACTCAATTTTGCCGCCAAAAGATTCTATCGTTAGTCACACCGAATGGGTTTAATTGAAGAAATGCTTTTTTTTCTATGCGTTTTTTTTTTTAGTTTATATTTAAGAAGTCCGGCAATATTATGATATCATTTGTGAATAGCTCTGCTGATGATACAACGGTGTATGAGAGCACCTGCAAAATACAAAGGCTGATCTCTCCTCTGATCTAACGTTAACAGCTCGGTGGACGAAAACGGTCTGGCCTCATTCAATTCCCCGAAAACAAAACTAGCGAGGTTCAATCATCACAGTGCGCGCTATCGTAATATATACGGATGTTCTCTCAGGGAAACCCCGTGTCGTAAGCACCTATTTGGGCTTAAACTCAACCCAGACTTCAAGTGGAACTCGTCCATTCGCGTCATCGTTCAAGATATCTGACAAATGGTCGGTTCCTATATCGCTCCAGCAAGTACCTGACTCTAGCAAGTATCCTCTAACTTTACAAAAACCAGATCAGGCCGAAAATGAAGTACTGCTTCCATACACGCGCAGGAGCTACCCAGTCTTCACTTCTCCAGTCTCGATAGGGTCCAAAAATCTCTACGCGTCCTTGTGGGTGATGAATTATTTTCCACCCTACAACTCGATTCCCACGGACGAAACATCGCAAGCCTCTCTTTTCGCTCTATCGCTATTCCCAAGGAAAATTGTACAGACGTCCTAAATTCCATAGTTCCACAAGTTCCTCACGACTAAAACCCGCCATGCTATGCACATTGTATCCAACCCCCCTCATTCCCTTCATATTCCACTGGTGAGATTTAAGTTCCACTCGAGCAGCTACTTTACGGAACCGACTCCCAAGAAAATGATTCCTCGATCACTACAATCTTAACCTTATCAAATACAGGATTCCCCATCCTGACATATCTTCATAAGCTGTACCTCTTACTACATCGAGTGGCTCTTGGGCAAACATCATTATAGAAAATAACCTTAAATTGGTTGGTTGTTTTGTTTTATGGCATATCAAAACCTCAGTGGGTCATTTAATGCCAACAAAATTTTTGAAATAGAATCATAGCGATAATTTGGTAAAAAAAAGGTGTGTATGTATACATATATATTTGAACCATTTTTCAATTACTCTTATTTTTGAGTACAACTTCTTTTAGGAAATTTATAATCTTAGATGTTTTTATTTTTAAATTTTTTTTTTTTTAATTATTCACTTGGTAATATTTTGTTCGCACTAGATCAAAATCTACAAACTCTAACAGTATTTATTTCACTGTAAATTTCTCTTGTCATGTAGTGAATATTGGGGATTCTGTGCCCTCTGGTGTTAAGTATTGCTAATAATAATTTTCCATTCAAAAATTGTTCTTGGTAATTCCTTTTTTTTATTACAAAGTATTTCTGGTATTAAAACCTATTTTTACACAAGTTTCGGTATTAACTATTTGCCCATAGCTAGGACCCTAACAGGTACTACCACCCCGGGTCAGGGTGGATCTTGGAATACCAGCAATTAAGAGGTTGTTCAACGCTCTTCAAAACCTGATCAGAGGTCTTGCTGTTGGACGTAGTTTATCGTCTTACCCAGGATGCGGATGTAGTTTATCGTCATACCCAGGACGGTAAACTTAAATGTTAAAAACCTTAATACAGTCACTCCTCACTTAACGACTTACATGTTTAACCTCCCGCGGTCTTATGACCCGCTATCTAGCCAGTCATCAATTTATGTTGTACGCCATCTTTGAACGTTAATGTTTTTTTTTCTGTTTCTCGAAAATGAATCAAAATACATAAAATGAATGAATAAAGAAAAGAGAAAAAGCGTTTTTACTTACACTGCATTTAAAGTACACAAACCATAGTGATATACAGAATATAGCGTTGGTTTCCTATTTTGTTTATTACGTTTTCTATTAAATTCCCTACGGTGCTGTATAAACATTTATAACTAAATTAGAAATGTTACAAATCTGGTTGGTTGACACAAACCTATAGGGACATTATCTCTAATTTAACATTGTAAAATTTTATTGAATAAAAGACACATGCAAAGCATACTATTTTTTGCCAACACCATAACTTACAAACCGTGTCCCTTCAGGACGTAGGCGATCATGGCTCTCCACTCCCTCCTATCCCTTGTAGCTCTCAATAAGCTCCCCTTGCTACTTCCCCCAGGCCCTGTTCTGTCATCAACTTGCTTATGTACGCTACGTTACTTTCCTTTGTCTCTCTTTCCCTCTATCCGCCCTGTGAGTATCATATTCTCCAAGCCCTCTTTTCTCATTACGTGTCCCAGAAATTCCAGCTGCCTCTTCTTGGTGTTAAGTATAAGCTTCTTCCTTGTCTGCATCCTTTCCTAAACCTCATTTTTGGCTTACATGTTAAATCATGATATCCTTAGCATCCTTCTGTAGAACAATACCTCCGTTGCCTCGAGTCTCTTCTCCATCTTTTAAGGAGACAGTCCAACATTCGCTGCCGTAAAGGAGGACCAATATCATGTAGCAGTGCAATACTCTTTGCTTTGTTACCAAAGAAATCCTCCTGTCTCGTAATACTCTGCCTAGCTTTTGGAATGCGTCTTTGGCCATTCCAATACGTCTTTTAATGTCCCCGACCTGTAAATCGCATTTCGGGCTTACCCTTTTATTGATGACTATGCATTCTGTCTTCTTGTAGTTTATGCTTAGTCCCTTAGCGATCAGGTTCGAATCTCACCGTGGTCGATTTTCAGGAAGGAGACTTCCTGATGTTATCGGACTTAAGAGGTTGTTCCTAGCGTACGGCACCTTTGGAAAGTGCCTGAAAACCATACCACGGGTTGACTCTAGCCAAGTAGATGGCCATCGATAGCTGTGTTAACCACCCTAGTAAACGGGTATCCTCGAATCCGAGTGGTCAGCTACACTCAGTCTAGACGGACAATCCGTTATAAGACTGGGGTAGCATCCCGTCTAGACTGGCAGGATAAACCAGTTGGTCTGGGACCGAACACACACTGCTAAATGAAAGATCTTTGATTTATACAGTAAGTCATTTAGAAAGTTTACATGAAGCAAATACACATTCTAAATTTACAAACAAAAAAATAACCTTCCTTTTTTTGAAACATCAACTAAATTTTTTCATTGACTGATATATATATATATATATATATATATATATATATATATATTACGGCTTATCACCGTTTTGCAGGTTATTTAAAGCCAGAAATTATTTTGGATTGTAAGATGTTTTTACTTTTTTTAGATAATAATGATTCAGTGTTATAAATCTTACTAATTAACCCGTAGCTGTAGGGAGAAGAGGTGGATTCATGCCTTTCATGCAAGGGTTTTTGCACGTAAGTGAATATAACGAAACCAACAGGAATTGGAACTAGGCAACAATTCCGAACCACTACCCAACACACCACCCGCACATCCAAGCTTACAGCTCTTGGTATCCCCAATCTAATTACTGGCCAGGTTCCATGTTTCTTAACCTCAGTGGTCGTACGGGGACCTTACCGTTTTTCTTAGAGTGTACCAAATGTCTTTTCCTTTCTTGCAAACTTTTACTCCAAAACTTATTTCGTGTAGCTTCAGTTTTCAAAAAAAAAAAAAAAAAAAAAAGAAAGAAAGAAAAAAAGCTGGATGACTATTCTTTCATTAAATTTTTTACATAGTAAAATGTTTTTGGTGATAATATTGATACAAAGAAAGGGGGAGGTGGATTCATTCCTTTCCCAATGGTATGCACCTAACTGAATATAACAAACCCAACTGGAATTGGAACTCGGCTCTCCAATTTGTAATTCCCAGCCATTATCAATTACACCACCCGCACATCCAAGTTTACAGCACTTGATGTTCTCAAGAGGTCAGCCACTCTAGATACTACGTTGCTTAACTTCAGTGATCGTGCGGGAAGCGTTCTTTCAATGTGATGTGTCCGTAAGCCCATTAAACCAACCACGCATCCAGCAACTGGTATTCTCAAGCGGTCACCCATCTATGTACTGACGGGATTGACGTTGTTTAACTTTGACGAGCGTACGGGAACCGGTGATGCAACGTAATATGACCGTAAGCTCATTAAACCACCCGCACATCCAACCTTTCAGTATCTGATATTACTAAACGGTCACCCATCTAGGTATCTACCATCCTCGATGTTGCTTAACTTCGGTTGTCGTGCAGGAGCCGGTGTTTCAACGTGATATTGCCGTAAGCTTATTAAACCACCCGAACATTGAAGATTACAGTACTTGGTATTCCCAACCGATCACTCATCAAGGTACCTACCAACCTCGATGTTGCTTAACTTCGGTGGTCATGGGGGAACCGGTGATTCAACATGATATGGCCGTAAACCCTTTTAAAACACCCGCACATCGAAGATTACAGTACTTGGTATTCCCAACCGGTCACCCATCTAGAAACCTACCAGGCTTGATGTTGCTTAACTTCAATAAGGAAGCGGTCTTTCGTCGTGATATAGCCGTAAGTCCATTAAAGCACTCACGCATCGAAGATTACAGTACGTGGTATTTCCAAACCCGTCAACCATCTACCAGGCTCGATGTTGCTTAACTTCGGTGGTCGTGCCGTAAGACCATTATACCACCCGCACATCGAAGTACAGTGTAACCCGGATATAAGAGAGTTGTCGGGACCGGACAAGAAGTCTGTTATATCCGGGTTTCTCTTATATCCGGGTTTGGTCTATTTTATATACACTAACACAGGCTCTAATTTGGGACCAGAGAAAATCTCTCTTATATCCGGGTCTCTTATATCCGAGTTACACTGTACTTGGTATTCAAAGAGGTCACCCACAAAGGAACTGGCCAGCATTGACGTTGCTTGATCGTACGGGAACTAATATTTCAACATATGGCCGTAAGCCGAAATTGCTTTATAAAATCTTATATTACTATTATCTGTTGCAAAATATCTGTTTATTATTATTTGTTTATTGTTAGTATTCCGATATTCAAAACTATTTTTTTGTTGACGAATTATCTCCGCACGCCTGATAAAAATTGTCATTTGATCGCTACATGAGGAGTTGTAACTCCTCATTTAACGATCAACTCGTTTAGCAACCAGGTCGTTGAAATGGACGCCGGTCGTTAAATGAGGAGGATCTGTATATAAACATTAATCCAAACTTTTGAATGAAAAAGAAAACAAATCTTACAGGTATCAATCGAAATATTACTGGTGTTTGGCTTCAACGTAGGGAGAAACAAGAATAATAGATCAGCAAACGTAATTTTGCTGATAATTCAATCGAGCCTCTCGCCCTCGTATTTCACAGAGCGGGAAGTATAAGAGAAGAACTGTACCGTTCATCTGGCTTCGCATTAACAACGCGTGGGCCTTATTGAAAAAAGAAACCATCTTTTGAATTAGTTTGCGTTATTCGGTCGACGACCTTAAGAATAAAGAAAGGAGGGATAGAAGCCAGTGAAATCTAATGACGTGAATATAATTTGGTGTTTACTTTTCATTCCTATTAAATCTTTCCTAACGCCGATGAATAAAAGCAAATTTCTTCTCTTTCTCATATACACGAGAATGAAATGAATTATAATTCTGTTTGTTCTACCGTTACTTAGTTAGCACGTACATTACGCCCGGCCATTACCTCAGATAAATAATCGACTATTTCGTTTTGATCGTGAGAAAAGACGGCAAAGACATATCAGGACGTTATTTGGTTTCCGTGAGAAAAAGAAAGAAAGAAAGATTGAAATAATAAAATAAACAAAAAACTAAAGAAAGAGCGAAAGAAAGAACGAAAAGAAAGAAAGAAAGAAAGATAGAACGACATAACTAAAGAAAGAAAAAAACGAAGGAAAGAAACAATGAAAGAAAGAACGAACGAACGAACGAACGAGCAAAAAAAAAAAAAAGAATGAAAAAAAGAAATAAAGACAGAAAGAACGAACGAACGAAAGGAAGAAAGAAAGAAAGAACGAAAAAGCGAACGAAAGAAAGAAAGAAAGAAAGAAAGAACGGAATAAGGAATTAAAGAATGAAAGATTGAAACAATGAAAGAAAGAACGATAGCAAGAACGAATGAAAAAAAGAAAGAAAGATAGAACGAACGAAAGAAAGAAAGAAAGAAAGAAAGAAAGAAAGAAAGAATGAAAGATTGAGATAATAAAAGAATCAAAAAACGAAAGAAAGGTAGAAAGAAAGAAAGACATAACTAAAGAGAGAAAGAAATAACGAAAGAAAGAAAGAACGAAAAAGGAAATAACGGAAGAAAGAAAGAACGAACGAAAGAAAAAGAAGATAAAGCAGACGATATCGCTCTTACGTATTAAACCCGTGCTCCAATGAAAAGAGAAAAAAACTTATCCATGCCAAATTTTTTCCATTTGTACCCTTTTACTTTAAATAGATGCCAGCATTAATATTTATGATTGTTGTTGCAATATTAGGTTAAATTTGTTAAGCTCAAATATCTAACGATGCAACAGAGGAATTCTCACTGGTATTTTGAAATTGTGGGACTTGCCATGAGCATATTTATTGATTAAATATTAGGATAATCAGAAAATTCAAACAGGAAAACCGTGAAAATCTCACGCGTACCACTAGTTATTATAAAGACGCCAAATTATATTTAATTAAGAAAGAAACCAGCATGAAACAACAGATATGTTAGATAATTTAAACATTATAGGTGCGTTTAGCACGTATTTGAATAAGAGAGAGAGAGAGAGAGAGAGAGAGAGAGAGAGAGAGAGAGAGAGAGAGAAAGATTGTGTGTGTAAGTGTTTGTGGGAGTGTGATAGCGTGTGCGTCCGGGTCCCTTGTCGACCAGTTCGGGTTGTGAGAAAAAGCAGAACACTTGAAATTTCATTGATTTCGATCAGAAGTAGAATTTGACTTGACACAAATGAGTGAGTGCTTCTGTGAAAGAAAATGCACAAACACGCACACACACCTACACACACACACGCATGCACACACATACATACACACACATATGTGTGTGTGTGTGTGTGTATTTAGGCAGCATAATTTCAGGTCTGGTTAAATAATTTAGACATATTCTGGGATTTTTCTTGCTCAATTTTCTAAATCTATTATGAAAAACTAATTCTGCAAGCTTTTTGCTTTTAAGCAGATTAGTTTTTAGATCATAACGAAAATTAGTCGACATGACGTTTAAATTAATTGACCAAACTGGTTTGAATATATATATATATATATATATATATATATATATATATATATATATATATATAAAAATATATAGAAAATAGGAAGGAACTGGTTAGGTAAATAATTCAAAAAGTTCCTTAGTATTTTAGTTATTATTTTTAAAAAATAGTGCTCGATACAAAAATAGAGCATAAATATAATTATTTATTTAAAAATATGATTCCAAATCGCTACATAAGAAGTCCCATGTTTCAAAACAAGAGCCGAAAACTTCAATATAATCCTTTAAATTAAATTGAGTTTAAATTAAAATGGGCTCCGTTCCATCTTCAAGCGAAATTTTTGTTATATATAGATGTGTTGTGTGTGTGTGTGTGAATGTCTGTTAACTCACTCATGTCTTCTCTCTCCCCACACATTTCCTCACTTCGTTAATTTACATATGTTTAATACGGCCCGTCAAAAATGTGCAATTTTTCTTTTCAATTTTTGTTTGGAAGTAAAGTCTCATGATCCGCAGACTTTTTTAAATGAAATAATTTATTACATGAAACCTTAAAGTGGTCTGTTTTTTTAAAATTAATATATATATATATATATATATATATATATATATATATATATATATATATATAGTTTAAAAAACAGGAGGTCAATTAAAGTACGTGAAAACGGTTTCGACCTGAATGTCTCTTCGGCCGATAATTTTCAAATGACCACTTTAACGCTTTATTTAAAAAAAAAAAACACAAAGAACGCTACATAATTATCTTTTTAAAAAACAACAGGCGTATGATGATTGAAAGACAGGTCATTGGGTGTAATGGGAAGTGAAGTGGAAAAGGAAGTGGAGGAAAGAATCTAAAGACGATGTCCAACTGACCTTACTATATTGTGCAGACGACAAAATCATAAACAAACAATGCGCATGCACGAAATTAAAAAATCAAATCAAATAGCTACAATTTATCCAAATCACGCGTTTTATATATATATATATATATATATATATATATATATATATATATATATATTATTCAAAATGGATAAAGTCCGACAATTATTTTAAGCCATTTTTTTGTTTAACATTCTTTTTTTAGTAGAGAAAATATTTAAAATAAATCCTATCTTTATAATAAACAGTATTAAACAACATTTACCGACCTGAATGTCCGAGAAATTTTCGGAGGACGAATATTTTCTGTGAAATTAATTTCTCGACATTCGGTAAATGTTGTTTAATAATGTTTATTATAAAATTTAAGGATTTACTTAAATATTTGTATCTATAAAAGAATGTTAAATATAAAATGTCTTTATATATATATATATATATATATATATATATATATATATATATATATATATTAAAATATACTTTTTCAGGTATGCTATATTATGGGATAAAGTGCTCAATATCAGAAATAGAGTGTATGCAAACATAAATATAAAAGTGAATATTGATGTCAACACTCAGAGGCGACAGACTGTTTCGTGCTAAAAGCAATCAACCGGTCATATGCATTCTGTTCATAGTTTGTTATAATTACCTTCCCAGAACAAAACAAACGACTGAATAAACGATAAGAACTCATCTACAAATGCAACCATGAAAACAAATTTTTGGGTACATTACTTAAAAATCGAAAACCGAAAAGAATAAATAAAATGATAAAATAATAATAAATAAGCAAAAACAAGTAAAATAAATTAATCCAAATGAATAAAGTAAATAATAAAGAAATTAACAAACCGCTCCCGCTAAAATAACCGTCAGAATATACTACAAAAATCTATACAAAAACTGCAAACTCTATTTGGAGGAAAAAATGCCTATAATTAACTTTCCAGACCAAAGAAGCTACTAAATAAACAACCACACAGGCACATACACCCACATACACACATACACATATAATAATAATAAAAATAAAATAATGATAATATAATACTATATAATATAATAATAATAATATAATAAAAACAAAAAACCTAGGTAGGTTTGTCTGGCTCACTAGGTGTATCTAGGTCTGCTCTACGGTTGTATTGAGCTCTTTTGTTAGTTAGTTGTTTACTTGTATCGGGGTTTTTTCTTTGGTCTTCAGACCTGCATCTGTGCGATTTTTTTCGACAGACTTTCATGTTTGCAGCTCTTTCTTTTTTTAAAACCTTTTTTTTCCCTCGAGATTGATTTGATTATTAGCAAATCAAAAATTCGAGGGTTTTTCGAAACGAGTATAGTTATCTATATTTGTATATATATATATCGATATATTCGACGTATATATATCAAGCAGATCAGTTTCTAAGAAACCGACAAAAAAAAAATCGCGGGCACATGAAAATTTGATTATAGTGGCGAAATTCTCGTGCAGGACCATCCACACTTTTTGAGGGGACGAATACAGAGACCTTGGTAAGCACCAAATTGTATATATTTTTGTATATATATATATATATATATATATATATATATATATATATATTTCACACACAATATATATATCACATGAAATAGACAATTATTTTAAGACATTTTTTATGTTTATATGTTCTTTTTCTAGATACAAATATTTAAGTAAATGCTCTGTTTATAATAAACAGTATTAACGACATTTACCGGTCTGAATGTCCAAGAAATTTTCATAGAAAATCATGGAGAATTGTAGTTTAAAAATAGTCAACTCGACCTTGCTAACCGGATCGCTCTTCTGTAGCTCAATCGGTAAAAGCACGTCACGCTATACGACAGTTCCGTATAGGATACAGGTTCGATTCCTGTCGAAGGACGCATGTTTTCTATGAAAATTTCTCTAACATTTATATATAGTGTTTAAGATAAAAATGGATATCATTTTGTAATAACTTGATCAATTCTAGTTCAAATAATCTCAGATTTTAACACCATGTGTAGAATCAACTGAAAATTCTGATTTTTTTTTTCAAGTATACCAATGCCATTCTCTGGGGGCGATGGCATTTTGTGTGTTAGCGTATGCTCGGATTATATTATTGCATTGATATTTTTCATACTCAGTTGGTTAGTATCATGTGAAATTACTCAGGAGTAGCTTCTGTTTATTTAACAACACACACACACACTATGTTTCTGTCTTTATAGAGGGTGTCCCATACTGACGGCACACATTTTAAATACAAGTATATTGGATTATAAAAATGACATATAAATATATTTATTACACTACTGATGTATAAGAGTTCAATATATTATCTAAGATTTGAATGTTACATCCCTGAGATGGGTACCATTATGAAGAGAAAATACATGAGCTCACTCTCTCATTTCGTTTTTTTCTTGCTGCTATTGCCTGTCTCATGAAAGTTTGCAATGGCAATATAGGATCACTTTTTTTAAATGTTACCTGTCTCTCCAAAATGCTGTCAGAATTTTCTTTGGGTTGATAATGATGGATCTTTAAAATTTGATGAAGTAACATTTATGATCGCCCACCACCAGTCAAAAACCATCAGATACCTGTAGATAATAGCAAAATCTTAGATTATTGAACTCTTGTATATCAGTTTTATGCAATAAATATATTTGGTACTTTATGTCATTTCTATAATCGAAGATACTTGCATTTAAAATGTATCCCACCATTATGGACACCCCGTATATACAGGATGCTTCAGAAAATTGATTTCAAAATGTAATATCTTGACCAATTCTCATTCAAATGATCTCCAATTTTAACAGCATATGTAGAATCAACTCAAAATTCTGTTTAATGTTTTCTTTGTGTTTTCTTTTCAGGTATAGAAATGGCATTTTATGTGTTAGCGTATGTCGAACACAACTGCAACATGCATTTGTAAGAGAATTCGCTAAAAATGCATCAAATGCAATGCAGATTTGGACATGACACAAACTCTTTAAAGAGGAAGGCTGTCTCTGCAGGGCAGAAGGGTGTGGACAACCACCGGTATCGGAAGAGATGTTCGAGAGGGTACGGAAACATTTTTGCGAACTCCCAAGATGTTTATAAGAAAAGCCAATCTGGAAATCCTTGATTCCTCCCAACAGCAGTTTGGCGTGTGTTGAGATGTTGAGTGTTTCCCTGTGCGTGTATTGAAATAAGGACAAACACATACGTAGAGAAAAATACTGATATATCTGAAGAGGTATTTACAACAGAGAGATTAGTAGTCAAACGAACGCAGATTAGTCAGTAACAATCAGAAAGAGTATAAAGTCCAACTGTATCTTCCGGTAGAGAGACGGGAGTGTGATGGTCACCTGATCTTCCAGAACTATATAGAACTGTCCTATTAGTAGTAGAGAGATCAGTCCATTCTGATGAGAAGGTGGGTGGCCCCAACAGCTGGTCGCAAGGAAACGCTTACGAATGACAAGCAACAAGCTACAGTCAAATGACTACAAGTTGCGTTTAAAAATTTTATATATATATATATATATATATATATATATATATATATATATATATAAATATTTTTGATATATATAAATACGTGTGCATATAAACATCGGATCTCTCTCTCTCTCTGTATATATATATATATATATATGCATAATTGTGTGTGTTCTGTATTCTGTGTGTGTGTGTGTGTGTGTGTGTGTGTGTGTGTGTGTGTGTGTGTGTGTGTGTGTGTGTGTGTGTGTGTGTGCGCTGTGTATTCTGTGTGTGTGTGTATTCTGTGTTTTTAGCAGCTTGCTAAGATATACCCAGTGGAAAATTCCAATGATAACATATCAATTTTTACTAAACTGATGATGGCTTAAGAAAGTCGAAAGGTTGGACCATATTTCTTGTAACTATCTTGTCTGAAAAATCTATTATTTTGTAAATTGGGAAAGTCAATCATTAAAATTGATCAAAAAAAAATGCTGTCGTTTTAATTATATAACACACACACACACACACACACACACAAACACATATATATATATATATATATATATATATAGAATGAGAGAGAAAAAGAGAGAGACCAAAAGAGAGAGAGATTAGACAGAGACAGAGAAAGAAAGAAAGAAGAAAGAAAGAAAGAAAGAGAAAAAACAAAGAAAAAGAATTTTGACAGAGAGAAGAGAGAGAAAGAAGAGAGAGACAAAGAGAGAAAGAAAACAAGAGAAAAGAAAAGAAAGATATCATTTTAGTTAAAATCTTGAACTGAAAGGAGAAGAAAAATTAGAATGAAGAACGTCGTTAATTTTTCAAATGGGAAAAGATTTTGTAGATATTAAACAAAAGCACTATTTTATTAAACCACTACTCAATATACGAACAAAAAATATATATATATATATATATATATATATATATATATATATATATATATGTGTGTGTGTTTGTAATATCGACAAAGATTTTGTCATTTTGTGATAATTCATTAGGATCACTTTAGTTAATTTTTTCCATAAGGTTCTAGTAATGCCACACTCATCACCTTCAATTTGATTTCTGAAATCAAATTGTTAGCCATAAACCAATCCCTAACGTTTCAGAGAATCCTGGCATATCTACAAACTTTTTATAACCTGCTGAAAACTAATGGAATAGCCTGCCCAATGTCACATTTGTGCATTTTGAAATGCCTCAATGATTTTCTTTCTTAAATCTGTGCGTGTCTTGAGAGCAGTTTCTGTGCGAGTGTTCTGGCTTACACTATTAAATGATTGTGTAGCTCAAAGCCAAGACCCTTTCCAAATATCCAATTAACACCAGGCTTGCGATAGATGCGATTCCAAGTGCGCAGAATGGCCGACAGCGGGATCCAGAAGAAGCACTGATGTATTTTGCACTTCTTATTTCTTGTAATCGCCATCATTGTCAGCCATTTTTTTTCTCTCCCGGACATTTTTTTTCGTCATGTTCTAAAAAATGTTTTCTTTTTTTTTTATATATCTGTATATCTACCTCCTCGATCGCCCCTTTGGTATGCTTCTCCCCGACACCACACACAAAAATCTTTATTTCGTGTTGTCTCGTTATGATTTCGCTGACAACGTTGTGCACATTTTTGGCAAATTATAAACAAGCCTATTTCGGATATTTCGGTGAATTTTCAATGTGTGTTGTAACCTAGGAAGGGTTACTGAGGAATAACTATAACGGGGGTTGGAAATGAAATGGTAATCTTTATAACATTAACAAAATAAAATATTCGCCAGCAGCGTGAAGTAGGTAAACCACTGCTGGTGTTGGACTGCTTAGCCAGCATATTACCTCCACTTACAAAAATGTCAACCTTTTAAGGAACCGACGCCAAAATTTTGGCCACCAACCTGAAGGTAAGTATGTGGGGAACATTTAAATTATCATTGTCCCAAAAGACACTCGCTGATTCGATGTGGAAAGGCGAATCGACGAATCGAGTTCAAATTCTGGTCTCGTCCACTGCGTTCACTTTCATATTTTCTCCCCCCTCACAGGTATGGGTTAAATAGCAGGATAGGCTTATCTCTGTAGCCTTGTGTGTCGGCCAGTCTAGAAGGAAGACTACTCAGAATTAAAAACCGCGCAGAACGCAACTGGAAAACAAAAATTTATGGCAATTGACAAATAATAAAGAGGAATCTGTGTAGAGTCCTGATGCGTTATGTCTGGAAAGGATCAACATTGCATTTTAAGCAAGGCGATAAAGCTAATAAGACACAAGGGGCGGGGGGGTCCTGAAAGTGAAGGAGACCGAGAAAACGTTAGTGAAAAGAAAATGCAATAGAAAGAACAGGACTCAAGAAAACGAAAGATGACGATTGATACTGCATTTAATTTTTTGAATGTTGACAGAAAAGCAAGAAGCAGATTTCCACAAGCGAGTGGTGCGAGAGAAGAAACTATTAGAATAGAACATGCGGTTACACTATGTAATTTCAGCAAGAAAATGATCGGCCCAAAGAAGAACCAAAGAAGAAAATTCATCAGAAAAGGGATTTTTTTTTAAATCATTCCACCCAAGCAAGGCAACAAAGCCACTAAGACACGGCGAATTTACTGAGTATGAAAGAATATGAGAAAATGGAAACATTATTAAAGAGAAAGAACAATAAAAGAACAGAAAATAAGAAGTCGGTAGAGAAATCCACAAGCGAGAAGTGCGAAAAAAGGAAGTGTTTGTATAGAACTGACGATTATATCTAGCCATTTCAACCGTTATTGTTGAGACCTAACTGACAATCTAGTACTGCGCTTAAATTCATAAAGTCTCGGTACCATAAAGGAAAGTAATATTTATTTCGATAATACAAAAAAATGTGGTACAAGGCCAAAAGTGAGGATAGGAGAATGTTGATCTTCAATCTGTTTTATCTTAAATTTATCTAGCCACAATTAATGACGCAAGCATACCACCGTATTCCTTACACCAAAACAACACATTCTTACTTAACATTCTTACTACAGTCACCATAATACCTCTAGGTCTCTATGAAGGTCTAACTAGTTTCCATGTGTACAATTTGCCACTGGGGTTGTGGAATAAAAAATAACAGCATTAAAGAAAGAAAAACCCAGTGAATATTTATAATGATTACAATTTATGTACAAGGAATTATACAAAATAGTGTTAGTAAAAAAACAAAAAACAACACAATCTTTAATTGTAGCAGAAACCTCGGTTAAGTAGACGAAATTAATACGGGACTTAAATAATTCAATCAACCAAGCACTCACTGAATTCAAACAAAACAACAGATACGGAAAGCAAACTGAAAAAGACGAAACGGAACTGACATTTCTGGTCACCCAAATGAGGAGAAGAGGGGGAATTAAACTAAAGAAAGTGGGGGCAAAAATAAAAGGGGGCCAATGAGCAGACACCCACTACCTAAAGAAGAGTTCATCCAAACAATTAACATTAAAGCATTTATAGAAAAGGTTCAAGAAAACTACATAACGGCGGTGGGAAAGGGACCGAAGGCGAGATGCCAGGTCAGGTTAATAACATTGCAGATTCTTCATTGGATTTTATCGAAATCTATAAATATATGACAGGAGCACCATACCAGATATGGTAGCAGAATTCAAAACAAGGACTAATGGTAGACTATGGCAATTTAGAACCAGAAGTCAAAATCCCAACGAACAATTTATGAATAAGTGTTATTTTGTTTGCAAACAATTGTAGCAACACAAAGAAATCGAATAATCAATTCAAGATTTCAAATCATTTATACGTTCTCGCTGTTATGAGGTGGACAGCGATCATAGAAATGCTTCTCTATCACTAACCTTCCTTACTATAATCATTCTTTGACATATGCAATACTGCCGAGAATTTCACAGCGAATCATGCTGTGGGCCTGAAAGAATTCTTTCGGAGAAGGAACGTTGGCACGGAGCCAAGTAACTTCAATTATTTTCACGAAAGGAGATTTGTTTGGAAACATGTCAATAGTTGGAACGGAAGTTTATTCCGTCTGACGACAACATATTCCAGGATGATGTCAATCCTCTTCGGGCAATAACACCTAATACTGTTGTTGAAAAACTTTTCTAAAAATAGTATCATCCGCTTGTAATTTTTTTTTCTATCAGTAGCTTCCTTCATTATATTTTCTTCTTTTTTTTTATATATATATATATATATATATATATATATATATATATATATATATGTGTGTGTGTGTGTGTGTGTGTGTGTGTGTGTGTGAATCGACTGAAAATGAAGGATATGAAATTTGTATGTACATATATATTATTTCATTGATAAATTATATATATATATATATATAAATATATATATATATATGTATGTGCGTGTGTGTATATGAATACACTGAAAATGAAGGAATTAAATATATATATATACATATATATATATATATATATATATATATATATATATAGAGAGAGAGAGAGAGAGAGAGAGAGATCCATTCAGAAACTCGAGTCAAGGTGCGGAGGAAACGAAATATAACATCAATTTAGCATTGTGACAAATGGTATATATATATATATATATATATGTGTGTGTGTGTGTGTGTGTGTGTGTGTGTGTGTGTGTGTGTGTGTGTGTGTGTGTGTGTGTGTGTATGAATAGACTGAAAAATGAAGGAACTAAATTTATATATATATATATGTAAACATTGTGAGCATAGAAATAAGTATTATATCTACAACCGCTATATCCCAGCAGTTTTCAGCACTCTTTCCATAACTATAGCATGTTAAATTAAATACCTACATAATCTTCATAATATATGTCTCAATTTCTCTCTCTTTCTCTCTCTCTATGTGTATATATATATATATATATATATATATATATATATATATATATATATATATATTATATGATTCTTCATATCTGTCTGTATATATTCCTCTAAAACTAAGATAGATAGATATGAACAGTCTGAGATAGATAGATAGATAGATAGATAGATAGATAGATAGATACATACATACATACATACATACATACATACATACATACGTGAATGTGCACACGTGCGCACACAATTGTGTGTGTGTGTGTGTGTGTCGGACAGCGTAATTTGTAAGTTTAAAGAATTTCTACTTACATGAAAGCATCAAATTCTATCTATCTCAGTCTGTTCCTACCTATCTATCTATATCTCAATCTGTTATCTATCTATCTATCTATCTATCTATCTCATTCTGCTCATATCTATCTATCTATCTATCTCATTCTGCTCATATCTATCTATCTATCTATCTATCTTTCTCATTCTGCTCATATCTATCTATCTATCTATCTATCTATTTATCTATCTATCTATCTATCTATCTATCTATCTCATTCTGCTCATATCTATCTATCTCATTCTGCTCATATCTATCTATCTATCAATCTATCTATCTATCTGCTTCTATCTATCTATCTTGATGTTTCCATTTGAATTGATATTCATGTATATTGCCCTTTTTACACATCTACACGTTACTTTCCTTTTCTATCAATCCTGTTGTATTTCTGCCACCTCATCTTCCTCACTCATCGACGCCCACTCATCACGCGCTCACATTTACCCTCCCGTATTGTTTATTAGTAGCATTCCCAGAAGAATGACTTGATAACTGCCCTTATATTTTCTGTTGTTCATTTGAAGCTGAGAAAGTGCATCCTCTCTAATCCAAGAGATGAATAAAAGGAAATGAGTGAGATAAAGAGAGAGAGAGAGAGAGAGAGAGAGACAGCGAGACTAAGAGAGAGACTAAGTGAGAAAAGAAAGAGTGACGTGGGCAGAGGAAATAGAGACGGTAAGAAAAGACGGAAAGAATAATCAAAATAATATACAGAGAATGTGGAGGTGGTGAGAGAAAAGAGAAGAGAAAAAGATGCGAATGATAGAGAGAGAAAGACAAAGAAAGAGAAATATAAAGGAACAATGACAGAAAATATAGGGAAGGAGAGAAGTGAAAGGAAGAAAAAGAGAGAAACATGGGAAGAGAGGGTGAAAACCGAGATTGAGGGAGAGATAGAAACGTTATGGGAGAAGTACAAAAAAGGAAGAAGAATATAAATTCTGTTTGAAAAAAGATGTATTGTATTATATTTCATGAGGGTCGAGGAAAAGTTTTAATTTTCTGATTTAATTTTAAAATTTATTCAAATTTATTAATTTTCATTAATTTAATTTTCATTTTGATTAATTTTAGAATTATTAGTATTCATTTTTAAACTTTAAACTGTAAATTTTCTTCTAGTCCAGTGGAAAATTATAGCGTTATCTTCTCTTTTCTTAACCTTAAACCTCCTTTAAAATGGCTACCCCGCTGGAGATAGAGAATAATATATCCAGTTAGTCGTTGAATGTGTAGGAAATGCCTGTTTATTCACTATTTATCTATCTAAGTCTATTCATTATCTATCTATCTATCTATCTATCTATCTATCTATCTATCTATCTATCTATCTATCTATCATCGTTTATTCAATACCCATCTATCTATCTAGCTATCTAGCTTTGTTTCTTCCGTATCTATCTATCTATCTATCTATCATCTATCTATCTATCTTCGTATATTCAGTATCTATCTATCTATCTATCTATCTATCTATCTATCTATCTATCTATCTATCTATCTCTTTTGATTTATTCCTTATCTATCTATCTGTCTATCTATCTTGGTTTATTCAGCATCTATATATCTATTTCGTTTATTCAGTATTCATCTATCTGTCTATATTTTATTCAATATCTATCTATCTATCTATCTATCTATCTATCTATCTATCTATCTTCGTTTATTTAGTACCCATCTATCTATCTATTTATCTAGTTTCTTCAGTTTCTTCATTTATATATCTATCTATCTATCTATCTATCTATCTATCTATCTATCTATCGTTTATTTACTAATTATTGTTCTATCTATCTTTTATTCAGTATCGATCTATGTTTATGGAAAGGCCACACTTGATGTAAGCAAAGCAACCCAGTAGAGTTAATGGCGAGCCTAGAAAGAAAGGCGAAACGAACCGTAGTGACAGGCCCAAGACTAGCAGACCAACAGCTTGATGGGAATAAAGATAAAATCTGCAATTTTATTGTTCAAAGGCCTGCGCAAGGTGAGTTCCCAGGATGCTGATATATTCCATCAAGTTGAAGGGTATGTTTGGTTGCTAAAGGTTTCTGATGCTATACAATACAACATAAGCTTAAGGGGATGAAATACGGATGGAGACCACCCAGAAAGAGGTTTAGAGTAACGTAATATGTAGGAAAAATGATTTCCACTGTCACCAGACGGGTGTCTTATGTTCTAAGTTTATGACCGATGGTACCACTATCAACTCTGACTCCCATATTTTGGTTAAAAAGTATTTTGAGCTTGTGAAGCCTGACGGTCTTGAGAAAGACATGTTTTATTGAACATTGTAAACTGCCACTACAGAATCACAGACAAAGAAATGTACCAAATAAAGAGAAACTACATCACTTAGGACTACCAACAGCGGCAAAACCTCAAATGGGTAGCAAATATGACTAAAAGAGAAAGATTTGTTACACTGTGATCAGAATTATGCAACAGACACAGAAATAGTTTTCAATTATTGGGAAATCATTTTTTCATATTTTCTTTCTTTTTTTTTTTGTTATAAAGACGGGAGTTACAACCAAATTAGTTAAGTAATTAAATCCAAATGACAAGATAACAAACGAATTCAGTATAAACTACAATTCAGAAACGCTGAGAATCTATGCATCTGTCTGTCTATCTATCTATCTATTTATCTATATTCGTTTATTCACTATCTACCTACCTATCTTCGTTTATCAGTATTTACCTATCTACGTTTATTCAGTACCCATCCATCTTGCTAGCTACCTAGCTTCGTTTCTTTAGTATCTATCTATCTATCTATCTATCTATCTATCTATCTATCTATCTATCTATCTATCTATCTATCTATCTTCCATTATTCAGTATCTATCTATATATATCTATGTGTGTGTGTGTGTGTGTGTGTTCATTTATTTAGTATCTATCTATATATATCTTCGTTTGTTCAGTAACTATCTATTTATCTTTCTACGTTTATTCAGTATCTATCTATTTATCTATGTATCTATCGTTTATTCATCTATCATCATCTATCTCTCTCTTTCTCTCTCTCTCTCTCTGTCTCTGTCTCTCTTTCTATATATATATCCTCTCTTCCCTTCCCTTACTTCAAAATTTTACGTATACTTGATGAGGTCCGTCAAAAACGTGTGAATTTCTTTTCATTTTTCATTTCAGCTTTTGGAAATAAAGTCTGATGATCCAGAACCCTGTTAAAGGGGTTATGGTGAAATAGCTTATTACATGGAATCTTAACGTGGTCTGTTGTCTTTTATTCAAACATATCTGCTCTGAATTTTACATTGAGCTCTCTGGATATCATCCTCCTCAGGTCTACCCATACGGATTACCTAAATTTGCAAACTAAATATATATATATATATATATATATATATATAAATATATATATATATATATAATAGCCGGCTATTCGTATTCGAGGATAGCTGTCTATTAGGGCGGCTAGCCAATCCCTAGACACTCGCCCAGGAACATTTGTGTTTATTCAATACCCGCAGAGTCCACTTATGGTTTATACTGAAACTATGCTGAGCAGACCATTGTTATTTCTGTGCGATAGCGTCTTATCTAGCGTGATCATCACGCTGAACAAGGCCAGCACATTCAAACCCTCGGTCACAATGACTTGTGGTTTTCATAAACGACGGCCCCCTCAAGGGTTCCATCTCACCCAATTTTAAGATTTTTAGGCTTGGGTCAACCCGTGGTATGGTTTTCAGGCACCAAAGTTGCCGCACGCTTGGATCGCCTCCTCCAGACCAATAACATCAGAAAGTATTCTTCTTAACAAATCGACCCTGGTGAGATTCGAACCCGGGCCTCATGGCCAGAAAGCGTAGCTCTCATATATATAGAAGATTCAATCAACATCAAAGTTCATTTAGGATAAATAAATACTGAAATCAGATGTCCCTATCGAAATATCTCTGGAACTTAAAAGAAACTAATAAAACACCTACAGTAAAATTGAAATTAATAAGAAAAGCTAGAATATGTAGGTCATTAAATGACCCATGTCCTTTGTTCATACATGAGAAGCTATATAGTACTAGGTTTATAAAAAATACAAATTTTATTGTATCATAGACATGAAATAGCTATTCTTTGCCAACATTGTCAAAATTTTTTCTTAAATAATATTAAAAAAAAGTAGCGTAGCTTGTAATATACATACTTAATTTGATATGTAATAATAATTTTTAAATAATTTAAGTAATTCTATTACATGTATTTGTTTTAAAAGGAAATATAATCTTTTAGTAATTAAAAGTAAAAATAATATTTTAAAATTGTAGTTCAATACAACGTATTATAATCCAAACACCCCTTTTAGAAAGAATCTATATGTATACAAGTACGAATTTATAACGAATAATATGTCGATAAACTGTTTGCCGTAGATAAAAAAAAAGGTGACGACATGCGTTGAACGGATGTCAAAATTCGTTGAAAAAAGCCACCCCTGCCCTACCTAGACTTAACCTATTTTCGAACGTAACTCATAATTGATACAATAATAGTTAATAAAAAAGAACACGCTACCGCCCCTGACTAAATGATTTATTTCTCTCTATCCTTGGAAACTAAAATTATGAATGTATGTGCTTTTAAACCTCAGTAAATTTCAAAATAAGTTATTCCATAATTCGCTTGAAGATGAAACAGAACTAATGCTTTTAATTTAATTATATAATTGAATTTGAAGTTTTTAGTTTCTGTTTTTGAAACATGGTAATTCCTGTGTAGCGATGAAACCATATTTTTAAATCCATTAATTTTATATATCCTCGTTTATTCAATATCTATCTATTTATCTATCTATCTATCTATAAACCGTCATCTGTATATAACTGCTTTCTAAGATCAATGGTTAAAAATGGCTTTGATCGAATTAATCCTAGTTGTCTTGGCAAAATCCAGTCTTCTTAAAATTTTGTGAGCTGGCGTTACAGGATCACAAGCAAAAAATGTAGCAAATAACAGAAACTCCATCACTTGAGCACCACCAACAGCAGCAACAGCTAAAATGCATAATAATGACTTAAACAAGATATTGACTTTCCACGCCATTTCACATAAAACGTTAGAAAGGACCCCCACCTCCACTAATACTGGAAAGAGCGATAACAACTAATAGTCTTGAGAAACCTGTTGTTTGGAAAAAAATTGTTTTAAAAAAGGGCTTTTATAAATTTCAACCGAAAACAGTACTGTCTGCTCGGTCGATAAATGCCAAATGTTTTTTTGGCGGGAAACGGCTATTATCACTATATAACCATTGCCGTATGAGTACATGAAACAAGTTCTGAGCAAGGATTCTTCCAGCAAGACTGTATTTGAAAAAGAGATATGTCATTTTGGAACACAACAGCTTAAAGGCCAGATGAACAACCATGCAACTTAGCCATCTATTCTGACCTGCTACTAACAGGATTTCAACCGTTTGCGCCCTTGAAATAGGCATTAAAAGGAGAGCAGTTGTCTGGATTTACTAATTAGTTTAAGTAGTTCAATTAACTCCTACTAAGCTGAGATGTTGAATCTATTTAGTCCATTAGCGCAAGACATTCATATTTTTCAGATAAAATTTAAAATCTGCCAGCCTTAAGATTACCATTAGCTAAAAAGCTAAATTAGGCAAAAGTATTTGGTTGGTTGATTTAGTTTAGCGACATATAAACCTCTGTGGATTTTGGCGTTATATAATACTGAATTCTAGATATTTTGAAAGCAATGTTATGCCTTCAACTACAGATAAAATGTATTATTGGTAATTTTACTATAGATATGTATTCTTGGTAATTTCTATATAAATATCTATTGCTTGTATTTTTACATTCAATTTTTACGCAAATTCTTTATAATCCCGAGGAAGGCATTTTAACATTTGAAAAATAGTGTGCATGTCCTTTAATGACAGACTACGATCTTTTTTATTGGATTTATATGTAGAGGGACTGCCTGCCAACTATTAATTTGGTGTCTTTGAAACAATTTATGGCAAAGGTGGACAGCTTTTCAGAATTTGAAATATATGTATATTAAGAGGAAGACAAGAGGAAAAATTATTCTTTGTCCTCCGAGGGAAATGTTAGATTTATTTTTTGCACGTGTTTATATACAGGAGCAAGGATGTCATTGGTTTATCAAGGCTTTTAAATTTGGAAACGTTTATGAATACGAATCAGGTGGTTATAAGATCAGTCAAAACATGAAGAATACAAAGTGCCATATATATGGTAAAGCCAAAGTAAGCGAGCAACATTCAATATATATATATAGTTATTTTCCAAGCGTACCTTAAATGTGCATTGAGCCGAAAGTATCACCTTTGAGGATCGAACTCACTACTCAGTCGATGTTGTTCTAGCAAGACAAACTTGCCAAATGTATTATTCCACATCAAGTTCCCAAAATCAACCTATATATATATATATATATATATATATATATGTGTGTGTGAGTATATATATATATATATATATATGTATATATATATATATATATATATATATATATATATATGTATATATATATATATATATATATATATATATATATATATATATATATATATATATATATATATATATATATATATATATATATATATATATATATATATATATATATATATATATATATATATATATATATGTATGTATTATTTAGTCCATCTGTCTGTCACCCCTCTAAAATGGTCATATCGAAACCAAATTTTCGGGAGAAGTGCAAATAAATAATGAGGTCAAAGGTACATTTGGTTTTATTATAGTGCCTAGTTAAGGACAATAAATTTAATTAATCGTTTTTGGAAAAATTAAACGTTTTATTATTTAATATACAAAATACTCTCACTATTTTAAAAATAATTTAATGATTAAAATAACAAATACTTATTTAATAAATATCCGATATTGTTTTTTTTAAATCTCTTCTTTAAGTTTTTATATATGAAAGAAACCAGTTTCCAAAGTTCGTCTATATATATATATATATATATATATATATATATATATATATATATATATATATATATATATGTATGTGTAATTTATATATATATATATATATATATATATATATATATATATATATATATATATATATATATTACATTGAGCACTGTTGTGTAAAAATAAAAATATCAATAAGAACACTTTAATTATATATCTTACTATTCTTTCTTTTTATTTATATATATATATATCCACACACACACACACACACATATATATATATATATGTAACTTCCGTTGGTCTATCCCTCACTCCCTCTAAAATAACCATACATTGACCGATCAAATCTAAATTTGGGGGGAGAAATGCAAACAGGTAAAATTGGTTTTACTCAGGTGCGTAGCTTAGCACAATAAATTTTCATTAATTTTAGTGGATGAATTAAACATTTTATTATTTAATATACAAAATACTCCCACTGTTTTAAAAACATTTTAATAATTAAAATAACGAATACTTATTTAATAAAAATGCAATATTGTTTTATTTATTTATTTATTTTTTTTTTTTTTGCGTATCTTTTCTTTAAGTTTTTACATTTCATCGATTGGTTTGCAAAATTGAACGAAACGAAGAGTTTGTAAATCTCGACAAAAAATGTTAGCGATAAATTCAACAATAGTAAATACTCTGAGGATCTCAACAAAAAAAGATTCTACTTGTATAATATTTCTGATATGATGTTGTCTTGGTAAAAGTCTAGAATCAAGGCTATACTTCGCATGCGCAAAATGGCGAGTTAAAATTTATGTTATATCGTTTATTGTTTTTAATATATTTTAAAATAGATTTTTTCTTCGAATATAGATTCAGATACATATTCGCATTCATGTGGATGCTTGTTGGTTTCCTTTTTTCTCTGAGAAAACGCTTTTTGGTTAGATGAAGTCAGCTATCTTCTATTATTTGCGCATGGAAAAAAATGAGACTTTTTCCTGAAAGATATATATATATATATTTTTTTAGCAGATATCCCTGTTTCTCTTGTAAACCGTGAAATAGACGTCTACTTGCCTGGGTAATCATATCTTTTTTTTTTTTTTTTTTTTTTTTTTTTATAAATTTTTATATTTCTCTGATTGGTTTGCGGAGTTGAACAAAATATAGTTTGCAAAACTCGAAAAAAAATAGCGATAACTTCAACAATACTAAATACTGTGATGATTTCAACACGCGTCAATTTCTAGTTGTCAAAAATCAAGGTATATTTTGTTAGAATCTTGCGATGACGTACTTTCATTTTGAATAAGATGCACGAGTTATTATTTTGAAGGTATTCAATATCACATGAAAATGTTGCTCTTTCTTTTAATTTAAATATTTGCAATGACGCGCGAATACGGCAGCAGCAGTTGAATCCTGTCAATTTAAAATACAGTTCAGATTACGCATTTCTAATTAAAATGTTTAAAAAAACAACCCACGCATCCTATTTAAAAGTGAAACACAAAGTTATCACAGGAGTCTAACAAAAACGATCTCTGGTTCTTGGCATCGAGTGTAGTCAATCGCAAACTTTAAATGCTAAATAAGAGGCCATGATTGTTTCTTCATATTTTCAATTATACGGAAATCAATTCCTCAATATTTTAAAATCTATTTATCATAATTTGTGTTTACTATTCCATAACATGCAGAGTCCACACACACACACACACACACACACACACATACACACACACACACACACACATATATATATATATATATATATATATATATATATTTGTGTTTGCGTACGTAAGAGAGTTTGCTTAAAAGTTCTCAGCTCGACTAAGGATCTCTCTATCTAGGTAGCTAGCTATCTCACCCAACTCAAAATCGGTCTTGCAATCTGTCAGTCCAGAAACACCTCCACATATCGAGGTCGTCTGTTAGCATAAGTAGCGATATTATATCTTGATATAGGAAAAGTTCACGTCCTATTTCGTGATAATGAAATGCTACTTGCTTGGTCTTGGAGGTATTGAATGCTACAAACCAGTCGTTCCTCAACTGCAGGGTAAAACACTAAGAAAGATACATTTTTCTAATGCAAATTCTAGATTGCCCTGAACGGGTGACGTAGAATTACACTTGTAAATAAACATCGGTATGGCTACTCAAACACCTGTATTGACTCAATATAACGTTAAGAGTAATGAGAAATATATGGAGACATATGACCGAGTGGTTGTCATAAAATTCTTGGTCTAGTCCACTTAACAAAATTTAACCAAATGACCAAAGATCAAAATTCTGAGAAGAGATTCTTGGACCAGGTTACAGCCATAGCACGTTGAAACACTGATACTCATCCGATAATCTGACCAAGCTGAATCTGTCCAGTACTTAGATAGGTGTACGCTGGCCAGAGGCTTTGTGCTTCATGACAGGCCTAGTAATAGATAGATAAATATATAGATACTGAATAAACGAAGATAGTGAATAAAAGAAGATAGATAGATAGATAAATAGATATAGTGAATAAATAGTGAATAGAATAAGATATATAGTGAATAAATGAAGATAGATGAATAGAAGATAATAGATAGATACTGAATAAACGAATAAATGAATAAACGTAGATAGTGATAGATAGATATAATAAATGAAGATAGATAGATAGATAGATAGATAGATAGATAGATAGATAGATACTGAATAAACGAAGATATATAGTGAATAAACGTAGATAGTGAATAGAATAAGATAGAGAATGAAGATAATAATAGATAGATAGATAGATAGATAGATAGATAGAATAAATAAGATATATAGTGAATAAGCGTATAGAATAGAATATAGATAGATACTGAATAAATGAAGATAGATAGATAGATAGATGAACTGAGATAAACGAAGATAATAGTGAATAAAATAATAAGATAGATAGTGAATAAATGAAGATAGATAGATAGATAGATAGATAGATACTGAAAGGCCGAAAGATATATAATGAATAAGCGGCGATAGTGAATAGAATAAGATAGATAGTGAATAAATGAAGATAGATAGATAGATAGATAGATAGATAGATAGATAGATAGATACTGAATAAACGAAGATATATAGTGAATAAGCGTAGATAGTGAATAGAATAAGATAGATAGTGAATAAATGAAGATAGATAGATAGATAGATAGATACTGAATAAACGAAGATATATAGTGAATAAGCGTAGATAGTGAATAGAATAAGATAGATAGTGAATAAATGAAGATAGATAGATAGATAGATAGATAGATAGATAGATACTAAATAAACGAAGATATATAGTGAATAAGCGTAGATAGTGAATAGAATAAGATAGATAGTGAATAAATGAAGATAGATAGATAGATAGATAGATAAGATATATAGATAGATAGATAGTGAATAGAATAAATAGACGAATATATATAGTGAATAATAGATAGATACTGAATAAAAAGATATATAGTGAATAAGCGTAGATAGTGAATAAATAAGAAGATAGATAAATAAGATAGATAGATAGATAGATAGATAGATACTGAATAAACGAAGATATATAGTGAATAAGCGTAGAATAAAAAAAGAATAGAATAGATAGTGAATAAATGAAGATAGATAGATAGATAGATAGATAGATAGATAGATACTGAATAAACGAAGATATATAGTGAATAAGCGTAGAATAAAAAAAGAATAGAATAGACAGTGAATAAACGAAGATAGATAGATAGATAGATAGATAGATAGATAGATAGATACTGAATAAACGAAGATATATAGTGAATAAGCGTAGATAGTGAATAGAATAAGATAGTGAATAAACGAAGATAGAAAGATAGATAGATAGATAGATACTGAATAAACGAAGATATATAGTGAATAAGCGTAGATAGTAAATAGAATAAGATAGATAGTGAATAAACGAAGATAGATAGATAGATAGATAGATAAACAGATAGATAGATAGATAGATAGATAGATAGATAGATAGATACTGAATAAACGAAGATATATAGTGAATAAGCGTAGATAGTGAATAGAATAAGATAGATAGTGAATAAACGAAGATAGATAGATAGATAGATAGATAGATAGATAAGGAATAAACGACGATATCAAGGTCATCTGTTAGCATAAGTAGCGGTATTATATCTATCACCAAATTTGAACATTCGAACCGACGTTACAGAAACACAAAGAAATGTACCAAATAAACAGACACATTGTCATTTAAGGAATACCAATAGCTGTAGAAACAACTAAAATGAGTAGCAAATGTAAGAGAATTTTTTTTAACGGTGTGAACAGCTCTATGCAACAGTCACATAAATGAATTCTGTTTTCAATCATAGAACTGTCGGAGTTAGTTCCTCCTTAATTCCCTAATTGTTCACTAGGGGTCGCTCTCTCCACACTATAAATACTGGGCGACTTCTTACCTCGTTCTCTTTTCTACTTTGCATTTCAGCAGACACATTTAAAAATGTAATCTCTCGTAGAATTCAGCGTTTTCGCCCACTTATGGAAAAAAAAAGCCATAAAAACACACATACGTACGTAAGAACTTTCACCAACATATAAACTCTTTACGTTCACACACGAACACAAATGTTAATGTCTTTGTCACTTGTAAATTTGTTGTTTAAGAGATATATTTATTGACATATATATATATCGGGCTTGTTTGTCTTCGGTCAGACTCAACTTGAGTCCGCCATTTTCTTGTAGTTGAATCTTCTAGCAGGAATAAACAGAACGTGTTCCTAATTTAACAACATACAAACCCACGCAGTCCTCTACAGAACTATCATTTTCTTTTCATTCGGTTTGTTTGATGATGAAGGAGAGAGTTCGTCAAATCAGTTAAATAATTAAATCCAATTGACAAGATAACAAATGAATTCTGTATTGAATATCATTGAGAAACGCCGAGAATCTATCTATCTATCTATCTTCGGTTATTCAGTAACTATCTATCTATCATCGTTTATTTAGTATCTATCTATCTATCTATGGAATTAACACATTAATTCCATCTATATTTTACGCGCGCGCGAGTTTCCCCGCTTCCTTTCACACTCGTGCGTGTGTGCGCGCGGTTTGCACCCCTTCCTTCCTCTCACAGCTAGACGTAGCAGTAACCTGGAGGAAGACCTTCGCTAGCTCCTACTGATGAAGTCAGACTAACAGATTTTGAATTTTTTTCCCGCGCGTTTCGCGGCGTCTCAAACGGCCAGCGTTTGCAAGCCAGTTGCCTCCCGACTTTCGACCTAACTAGACGGGCAACTCATTTATTCCGTGCCTTTAACCCATATGCGGGCCGGCACATCTTATCTCAACAATGTCGACTTCACACTTTACCAAGACTTCTTCTCGCCTTGACGTTACCCGCAGGTGAACCAGTTGCTTCCCGATCTTCAACCTGACTAGACGGGCAACTCATTTATTCCGTGCCCTTAACCCATATGCGGGCCGGAATATCTTATCTCAACGATGTTGACCCAACACTTATTTACCAAGATTTCTTCTCATCTTGACGTTACCCGCAGGTCAACCAGTTGCTCCGTTTTCGACCAGAAAACGTTTGAGACACATCGTTCGAGACGCGACACAGTCGCAAGCAGAACTTATCCCTCGTCAGTGAACCAATCGTAAATACAGACAGGGATATCCTACTGACGAACAACTTGTTATCCGCAGGTCAGACCTTCTCCGTTTTCGACCAGAAGACGTTCGAGACACACGACACAGTCGTGAGCAAACTTCGTATTCAGCAAGTGGCTTATTTTTATCCCTCGTCAGTCAATCTTAAATACAGACAGGGATATCTTATTGACGAACAAACTTGTTATCCGCAGGTCAGACCTTCTCCGTTTTCGGATAGAAAATGTGCGAGACACACGACACAGTCGTGGGCAAAACTTCGTATTCAACAGGTGACTTACATTTATCCCTCGTCAGTCAACAGTAAATACAGACAGGGATATATTACTAACGAACAAACATTTTTCGTCTCTCTGGGCTCGCCGTAAACAACTCCACAAGACCATGAAACTCGCTTCAAACATTCTTCGTTTCTCTTGGCTAGATGCCCACATCAATCCGGTAAAATTTCCAGCAGCCAATTCAATGCCTCACCAAAAACTCTGAGACGACCGAACATTCTTTCTAACTATGAACCTGAACACAAAAATACCACACACACTTACAACGCCAAAAAAAAAAAAAATCCACAGTGAGTACTCCTTTCTATCTGTGCGCACGTACACCTCGTGTTTAACGAGTTCCTTTTTCCAGAACCTTATAAAACTCTTTTCCCGCCTTGTTCATCTTGCATTTTTTATTTAGGCGCGGAACTTTTTCCTTGATCTCGTACCACGAGATAATCTACTTGTTTCCATTAAAGTTACACATGTTTTACAAACAGACGTCTTTGTCATTTTATTCCGGCTATCTCTTTGATGTTTATTAATTTATGCACTTTTTTATTGACCCCTTTCCTCTCACTGTTCATTCACGCATTATTTTAATTTTTTTATACATTGCTTGTGGACTCGGTAGTTTAGTGTGGTGTCTGGCACAAGGCCACTTTGTAATAAACCAGCACTGCACGCTGCCGGGTCCGCAACATATCTATCTATATCCTCTCTCTCTCTCTCTCTATATATATATATATATATATATATATATATATATATATATATATATATATATATTAATAAAATTGGAAATGAAAAGCACGTCACAATACATTAATGTATACAAGTAAACAACAAGGCAGTCGACTCAGAAATTAATCAGTTCAAAGTAATCCGGTTGGGCAATGTTGTTCGAGAACCGAAATTTTGTTCGATAACCGAGGCATTTTCATCTCGAATTTTCTGTTCGAAAACCGATTTGTTCGACATGTGAGACGTTCGTGAACCGAGGTTGCGCTGTGTTTATATATATATATATATATATATATATATATATATATATATATATATATATATATACGAATAGAAAGAGATCTTCCGATTTTTTTTTTTTTTTTTGCTATTGATATGAGTTTGACAAGTAAACTCTGAACTTTCACCAAATTAATGTATTTTTTCTCTTTTTCTCTCTCTCTTTTTTTTTTACATTTTGATGATGACAGATAAATAATTTGCACCATTCTGACGCCGGCCATAATTCCATTAAATACACTTTGTCAGAATTCAAATTACCCTATCACAGTTTTCTAAAACTCTCCGATGATTCCCTATGAATTCTGACTTTCCATCTATTCTCTATCATGTCAGATTTGAAATTAGCCAACCCGGTCTTTAACTGGCGTCTCGTCGTCATGACAAAGTTGATTCCGTCTCCTTTTCCGTTCTGTTTTCGAAAATAAATCGAAAAGGAAAACAATTTGCATAATGTCCGCTTGCTCGCTTTTCCTGACTGCTGTCCAGTGACGCCATCGGGCCGTCAGACTTTCGTATTTGCTTCAGAGGGAGTCAAGCGAACTTTGATTAAAAATGGCCGGACTGGCCGCTCAAGCGCAACATACCAATAGATAATACAACATAATCAGATAGGGAGCTTTTTGACCCAGAACTTTATTAAGAACAAATGTAAATAGAGAATAAACATCACCATTTACATCGTTCGGAGTGTTGTCCTCATGTTTATTGCTATATTCACAACGTTCGGCCGTTGTACTCTCCGACCTTCTGCAGGCGATATACGTTGAAATTTCAAACCGAAGACTTTATTTAGTCCACAGGGGGGTAGATTGTTCTAATTCCACGTGCCATGCCTTTTTTGGATATCTCATTATCTTAAATCTTCATAAATTTAAATGCACTGTCAATCGTTATCTTCTGTTTTCTCTTAATTCCTGTTGTTTTATTTTTCTTTCTCTTTAATAATTGTTTTTTTTTCTCATATTCTCTCAAACTCAGTAAGCCCTACGTCTTAGTGGCTTTATTGCCTTGCTCGGGGCGAAATGATTAAAATAATTGTTAACAATTAGTTTTGTTCGGAATCTAGGAGCGTTGCGCTTTTCTTTACTTCTTAGGCTTACGGCCATACATTGTAACACCGGTTTCCGTACAATCAGCGAAGTTAAGCAACGTTGAACCGAGTCACTTACATGGGTGACTAATTGGGAATGTCAGGTGATGTAAGCTTGGATGTGATGACGCCTCAGAATTTGAAATCGGAGAGCCGAGTTCCAATTCCTGTCTGGTTCGCACCTTTTTATGAGTCAAAATGCTGAAAATTGCATCAATCAGCTAAGTGACATTTTTTTTTATATTTGTATCAATCCTCAACAACCGTACAAGTTTGGAAAACTGGAAGACAATAATGAGTAAAATCCCAATAAAAAGTGAATGGTAACTTACAAAAGTAAGTAAATTTCCTTACGCGCAAATAACTGTGTGAAAGGTATGTGTCCACCTCTTCCCCCCACCCACAAGTAAGAACTGTATCAGTAAAGCATTTTTATCTCCCCCACCAAAAAAAAAAAAAAAAAATGATATAACCTAAAAATGATTTCTGGCTTTAAATAACTTTCAAAAAGTTGTTATGCCGTAAAAAAACAAAAAAACAAACAAAAAAAAACGAATCAATCAATCCTCACTTCATAGACATCTTACTACCGATTCCACAGAACAAAGTTTTGACAACAAAAGAAAAAACAAAAAAAAAAGCCCAAAAAAACAACAACAAACAAAAGACCCATCAGTTTTTGCCAGTCTAATCCAATTTATCACAAATTACAGCCTGATTCTCACCGGAAGATGAAAACACTTCGTCTTCACAATGACGTTATCTTGAAACAAATTAAACTGAAATATTCGTTGGGGAAATTCCCTTTTAATTAAGATATGGACTTTTCAGAAAACAAGAAAAAAGAAAGAAAGAAACTGATACGTGTAATCTGATGGCGTCAAAGAACCGATACCATGCAGGTGTTCTTGTCCGCCATCTTTAGTATTAATAAAAGAGTTTTTTTTTTTGTTTTGCATTCGATGTGCAAATTGTTCCAACGTCATTTTTAACCGGATAATTTTCACACAATTTAACTTAATTTTTTGACAATAAAAGTGTTTCCAATTTAGTAAGCGATTTATTTACTAAATTTGCATTCTCTCTTTCTCC